TATAAGATTGTTCCTGTGCTCTCTTTGAGTTTCAGTCTTGTTGTTGTTGTTAGGTGCCATTGAGTCAGTACCAACTCATAGCAACCCTCTGCACAATATAACGAAACACTGCCCAGTCCTGGGCCAACCTCACATTTGTTGCCACACTTGAGCGCATTGATGCTGCCACTTTGAAAATTCATCTCCCTGGGGGTCATTCTCTTTTTCTCTGACCCTACACCTTAACAAACAGGATATCCTTCTCCACTGACTGGTCCCTCCTGACAATATGTCCTAAGTATGAGAGATGAAGTCTGGTCATCTTGGCCTCCAACAAGCACTCTGGCTGCACTTCTTCCAAAACAGATCCATTCATTCTTTTGACTGCCCGTGGTATTTTCAATAGTCTCCTCTAACACCATAATTCAAAAGTATCAATTCTTCTACGGTCTTCCTTAATCACTGTCCAGCTTTCACATGCAATGAGGTTATTGAAAATACCATGGCGTGGGTCAGGCGCACCTTAGTCCTATAACTGACATCTTTGTTCTTCAACACTTTTAAAAGGTCTTGTGCATCAGATTTGCCTAATGCAATACGTCATCTGATCTCTTGGCTGCTGCTTCCATGAATATTCATGGTTGATCCACGAAAAATGAAGTCTTTGACAACTTCAATCTTTTCTCCATTGATAAGAATGTTGTTTATTGGTCCAGTGATGAATTTTTTTTTTTTCTTTACACTGAGATGCAATCCATACTCAAGGCTGTGTGTGCTCTTTGATCTTCATCAGTAAATATTTTAAGTCCTCTTCACTTTCAGCAAGCAAGGTTGTATCATTTGCATATCACACGTTGTTAACAAGTCTTCCTCCAATCCTGATGCCATGTTTTTCTTCATATAACCCAGTTTCTCTTATTATTTGCTCAGCATACAAGTTGAATACATATAGTGAAAGAATATAACCCTATTGCACACCTTTCTTAATTTTAAATCATTCAGTGTTCCCATGTTCTGTTCAAACACCTGCCTCTTAGTCTATGTACAAGTTCCTCATGAGCACAATTAAGTGTTCCAGAATATTCATATTTCGCATTGTTGTCCATAGAGTTTCAGTCTTAGAAAGGGATTTATCCTGATGGACTGACTTTTCTTACCTTGATGGCTTCAGGCCAAACAGTCTGCCTTTTCTATTTCTTCCCCTGTTGGTTTTTCTTTCAGGAAGTATCTTCTATTCCTCTAGCTGCCCCTGGTTGGTCTGCATGACTATTCAATTGGAATGTACCACCTCCAAAAGTTCTGGGTAGGGCTCAGGGTTCCACCTAAGGCCCATACTCCACAAAGGCTTAACAAGAACACTTTTTCCTTGGATACATTCTACTCCCTCTTAAATAATCCAATCAATTGCAGGCTGAAGATAGGTTTACATGCTTTTTGTAATTATCTTTCCCAATACTCCTTTCTATTCTACTTAAATGTCTATGTTACACTAGTAGGCAGGGGGACGGACCCCATACCCACAAAACAATCAAGCAGCTTAACATTATTTCCCCTCCTTAACTCATTCAGACTATGTCCCGATCCCTAATTCTCAAGGCTGTTCATGCATCACATTCTACCTCTATCCTTTAGCCCATGTATACCTCCAAAAGTCTTTCCCTATCATCCCCATTCCTCTACCCATCCTCCTTCTTGTGCATTGCCCTTCCCATTTTATTTATTGCCCTCCCCATCACCCGAATTATCATACATGTATGCCCTATCCTGTGAATTACTGCCCCCTTCCTCCCACCCCTGGAAACCCTCAAAGAATTATTCTTTTAGTATGGAAATCTTTTCTTAAATTTTTACAATAATGGTTTTATGCAATTTTTGTCCTTTTGTGCCTGAGTCCTGGTGTGGCACTGTGAGTTAATGCACCAGACTGCAAAGCCATTTGAACTATAAAGTCAGTGGTGCAAGCTCACCAGTTGTTCCTTGGAAACCCTATACAGAGTCGCTATGGGTCAGAACCGACTCAGCAGCACTGAACAATAACAACAATTTCACTCAACATAATGTCCTCAAGATTCATCCATGTTATGAGGTGTTTTGCAGCTTTGTAACGATTCTTTACAGTTGCATACTATTCCATTGTATGTATGTACCAGAGTTTATTCATTCTTCCATTGATAGGCACTTAGATTGTCTCCAGCTTTTTGCTATGGTGAATAGTGCTACAATGAACATTGTTGTGCATGTATCTATTTGTGTTCTGACTCATATTTCTTGTGGCTATATTCCAAGTAGAGGAATTGCTGGGTCACAAAGTAAGTCTATTTCCAACTTTCTGAGCAAGTGCCATACCATTTTCCAAAGTGGTTGAAGCAATTTATAATCCCACCAGAAATGTAGGAGGGTCCCAGTCTCTGCACACCCTCGCCAGCATTTGTTGTCCTCTTTTTTGAACTTTGCTGTTACTGCTAGTGTGAGATGATATCTCATTACTGTTTGGATTTGTATCTCTCTAATGACTAGTGATCGTGACCATTTCTTCATATGTTTGTTTGCTGCCTGAATGTCTTCCTTGGTGAAGTGTTTATTCATGTCCAGTACACATAAATAGTGTACTATGAGTTGGAACTGACTTCACAGCATCTGACTACAACAAAGGTGACCTTACTGAGCATGGTGTTGAGAAGAAATACACAGTACCACACCATTATATAGTCATTCATTCACCAATACAAAGTCACAAGTAATCACAATAGTATTTTAGTTGTTGCTGTTAAATGTCATCAAGTACAGTTCTAACTCATAGATACCCTGTATAGAGTCTCTGAGGAGCTGGTGAGTTTGAACTACTGACATGCAAGTCAAACAGATTTTGTGGTCAAGTGCTTATCCTACAGTACCACACCAGGGTTCCAGTATTTCATCCACACAGATACAAAGTCGCAAGTATTAAGCCACAAGTGTTAAGTGCCATCAAATAAGTTCCTACTCATAGCAACCCTGTATAGGATTGCCAAGGAATGGTTCGGGGATTTGACCGACCAACCTTATGGTTAGCAGCCCAGTTCTTATCCTACTGTACCACACCAGAAGTCCAACCGCAATAGCATTGTTTTTGTTAAGTGTCATCGAATCCTTTCTAACTCACTCTAGGATAAGCATTGGACCACAATTTTGGTTTGAACTGCAAGACAGGTGGCTCAAAACTCACCAGCCACTCCTCAGAAACCCTACACAGAATCTCTATGAGTCAGAACCAACTTGATGACATTTAACAACATGAGAACTGGTTGGTGGTTCAAATTCACCAGCGTCTCCTCAGAAACCCTATACAGGTGGCTGAGTTGACTTGATGGTACTTAACAACAATAGGGTTTCTGAGGCTTTTCAAATCTTTGAGGGAGAAGAAAGTTTCATCCTTCTCTTGAGGAATGGCTTATAGGAATGAACTGCCAACCTTGTATGAGGGTGAGTCAAAAATTATCCACACTCCAGTTATATTCGAACACCCATTCACATCAATGGCTGATGACAGCATTGAGCAGGCAAGTGAAATGATTCTGTTGAATAGACAAGTGACAGTGGATTATGTGGAAAATTATTTGCAAATCAGTCATGGCTCTGACTATGAAATAATCCATGACAGACTTGGGCTTTGGGAAATTTGTGTGAGATGCATACTGAAACAACTCACAGAAGAGCATCAACAGAAGCTTTTGGACATCTACACAAAATTTGGACCGATACTCAAAGAAAAGTAAAAGTTTCTTTTAAAAGTGTTAGTAGTGATGAGATATGGATTCATTACTATGAGCCTGAGAGTAAGTGGCAGAGTATGGAATGAAAACATCTTCAATTGCTGACCAAGAAAAAGTTAAAAAGTCAACCATCTGCTGGAAAATTGATGCTTAAAGTTTTCTGGTATCCTCAAGGGCCGGTATTGGGACACTAGTAGGAAAAAAGTTCAACAATCAAAAGGGTTCATTACAGTGTGATGCTCACTGAAGAGCTGAAGCCTAAACTTCAGGTTTAGGCTATCCAAGGGCATTGTGATCTTGCATGACAATGCACATCTGCACACCTCTGCCCACACTGTTGACACTCTGCAAAAACTTCATTTTATGTGTTAAAGGATCCTCCCTATAGTCCTGATCTTGCTCCATTCACCTGCTTGGTCTCTTGGAAGCAGCCTTTCAAGGATGAAGATTCACCTCTGATGAATAAGTGAAGACAGTAGTGCATTCATGGCTTGCAGCTCAACTGAAAACATTTTTTAATAAGGGAATATGAAAGCTTGTCAGCAGATGGACAAAGTGTATTGAAAAGCAAAGAGATTATGTTGAAAAATTATGTACTTATCTTTTCTAAAAGTTGATTAAAATAAATTCTACAGCCAGAATGCAAATAATTTTTGACTCAACCTCTTAGTTCTTAGTCCAATTATTTAGAGAATAGTAAAATATAAGAGATGTTTTAAATTTTAATCACCTTTGCTTTTATAATATGTAATTCCATTTTTATGTATTTTATGTTATGTAAATAAGTGTACATGCTTTCATAATTCTATTTTTATATGGTAGTGTTGGTGTGCTATGGAGTTGGTCCTGACTCATAGAGACCCAGCATAGGGTTTCCAAGGCTGTAAATCTTTAAAGAAGCAGAAAGCCACATCTTTTTCCCTCAGAACAGCTGGCAGTTTCAAACTGCTGACCTTGAGGTTAGCAGTTCGACTCGTAACCGCTGTACTGCCACAGCTCCTTTTAATTGTGGCTGTGTTTAACATCTGCTTTGAAACATAATTGAAAATTGAATACTTGTCTTTTGCAAGTTATGTGGGCTAGCATACTATCACATTGCCATAGGTTTTCTAGTTTGGGATTGGGAAGAGATAAAATACCAAGTTGAGAACCAGAAAAATATCAAGCAAAGTAAATTGAGTTGAAAGGTATCAATTACTTTCCTTTTTTCTAGAATGAATATATGGTACCCATAAAATAATTTAATTGGATTTACCTTTATCTTTGCAGTATATTGACAAATTAGACATGATAGATCTTACATGCCTTACTGACCAGAATTCAACTGAACAGGATGGTGCAAAATTCACCCTTGTTTTGCCAAAAGAGGAAGTGCAACTGAAGGTGAGTGAGCAGAAGCAAATAATCTGTAATGCTTTGTAGTTATAAATAGCATTCACCTCTTTTTGAGTGGTTGAGTGGTTTCCTAGGTTTTGGAGGAGGAGCACTAATTCTTGTACTTTGTTGATAGTTCATACCTTTTGCCAAGAAGCACACTTTTTCTGAATTGGGATTTAAAAGGGTTTGGTCACTTGTTTAGTATATAAGCATGTTGAAACAATATACTTTTGTCCTCTGACAAAGTCAGGGATTCCACCTGGTGTTTTTCAAAGGTAGCTCTTGAATTATCATTCAAAGTGAACAATTAAAGTTAATGCATAATGACAGTAATAACAGAAATAGAACTTGATATTAAGTAAAATGTACATAGTTGGAGAGTTTCCCAGAAGATTACTGGTTGATCTTGAAAGCGTTGGTTTTAAACTTTAGAATAATAGCAATCACTTGTACATGGGAAGTCCAGGTCCCTACCTGGAAAGGAATCTTCAGTTTTAAGCAAGCTCCTTAGATGATTCTGTTGTGGTGGTTGGGATCACAGGATTGGAGTCAGATTGCGTACAAGGTTTGAATCTTGGTTGTTTTACTCAGTGCGCAATCTTTGGCAAGTTATTTATGATCTTTGTGCCTTAGTTTTCTCACTCTGTAACAAGTCTTTGCTGGAATGTAGCCCTCTCACTAAGGCCTGTCTGGACAACTCTATAAAATTGCAACTCTTTTCCTCTTCTCATCCCCACTAGCATTACCAGCCTCTTTTTCCTGCTCTACTGATTCATTTTTCCATATACTTATTTCCTCCTGACACTAAAAAATCTATTCATTTATTATTACTTATTGTTGTTGTTAGTTGCCTTTGAGTCAGTTCCAACTCATAGCAACCTTATGCACAACAGCATGAAACACTGCTAGGTCCTGCTTTATCCTCACAATCATTGTTAAGCTTGCATGTTTCAATATTCAATATTTTGGTGTTATCTGACAGTGTTCCACTGCTATTCATAAGATTTTCTGTGGCTAAACATTCAGAAATAATCTGACTCTTCTGCTTCTTAGTCTGTTTTAGTCTGTTAGCTCAGCTGAAACATGTCCACGTTGGGTGTACCCAGCTGGTATTTAAAGTACCAGTGGCATAGCTTCCAGCATCAGAGCAACATGCAAGTCACTACAGTATAATAAACTGACAGAGTAGTGGTAGTCATTTAGTATGGTTATTTATTGTCCCTTGCTGGATTCCATGAGAATTAGGGTTTTACTATGTTTCCTGATCAACTAGTATGTTGTTGTTGTTGTTGTTATGTGCCATCAAGTCGATTCCGACCCATAGTGACCCTGTATAGGGTTTCCGAGGGTGTAAATCTTTATGGGAGTAGAAAGCCTTATCTTTCTCCCCCAGAGCAGCTGGTAGTTTCGAACCGCTGACC